AAAAAAAAAAAAAAAAAAAAGATTAAGGGCAATATTTAAAATCTACTTTTGTGAGACTTGCCCCCACATCTTCTGGAACCACTTCAACATGTAACACTTAGAACACTTGTGTACCTGACAATCAAAGCTCCTCTCCATCTCTTAGACTATTTCTAAAAAGGAAATCACTATTGGCAAGGCATAGTTTTTTAAAGTTCCACTTATTTAGTGTCTGCTCTATGCTGGATAAGTAAGATCAGGTCTAGGGGGATTTTGGTGAAAGCCAGAGGTGCTAGAAGAAAAGACTAGCCCAACACAGGTTAGCAAAAGCAGCTCACTAAAAAAAGAGGCTGGGACTGAAGCTCACAAACCTCTTTATTTCCTGGTGCTGAATGCTATTCCATGTACCTTCTTCTAGGAGAACAAGCAATTCTTCTGTGGTTGCCTTTTCATCATCTGCCAGTTTAGACAGTTTCTCAGCTATAAGAAGCATGAACAAAAAGTATGAGCTGGGCAAGGTGGCAGGGGCTGAGGAAGGATAATCACTAGAGCCCAGGGGTTTGAGACTGGCCTGAGCAAGAACATGACCCTGCCTCAAACACAACTGCATCCATGTATTTACGGTCAAGAGAAAAAGCCAGGACCTGGGCATTTCTATTTGAATAATATGGTCCAGGGCCATTTCGGGACCCAATTAAAATGCCCAAGAAAGTGAGATAAAGAACACATCCATGGTAGCTGGGGATGTAGCTCTGTGGTACAGCATCATGCCCATCATGCATGAAGCTCCACATCTAATCCCCAGCGATGCAAAAAACCCAGGAAGATAATTGTTCCGTCCCAAATGCTCACAATTCAATGCTTTAGATCTGTTCAGCTCTTCTCCTCTAACAAAACAAGCCACATAAAGCACAAGTGCTGTACCTAAAGACTCTCGGATAAAGCTGTACTGAGCATCTTCATTTCTACACTTGTAGTTCAAAATTATATTGGCCACTTTCATATCAACTCTGAGCTTGAGGCTGTCAAGGCCGAGTAATTCTAGGAAACAAACACAGGCAGCTCCTATGGAAGGTATGTGGAAAGAAGAGAGTCCTAAGACATAGGCTTCCTTGCCTGCTTGCTGGATCCTGAAAAAGAAAGGAATCAAAATCACATCAGCGTATAAAACTTTTCTCACCAGGAAGAGCACATGGCATTACATCAGTGGTACATGGAGAGCCGGACATGTGATTTTTCACTCCCTCCCACTTTCCTTCTGCACCCCTTGCACACATCCATTTGGGTCCTAGGTAGCTTTCTGGTTGTTTTCGGGCTCCACAGCCTCTTTGACCTTCTCTTAAAGCACCTTCTCATAGCCTACACTACTCGCTTCCAACGTCACCCAGGAGGTATAGGGTAGAACTTCAAAAAGCAACTTGTCTTTATCAATTCTGAGTACATACAGAAACTACCAACATGGGCTGGGGATTTAGCTCAGCGGCAAAGCGCCTGCCTGGCAAGCGCAAGGTCGTGAGTTCGGTTCCCGGTACCAGAGAAAAACAAAAAAAAAAAAAAAGAACTACCAACATGATTAATACCACTTAAATTTGACTCCTTAATGTACAAAATTTACTTTTATGTGTGAACAAATTTAGAAAGATGCGCAAGATGTTTTCAACCATGTTTATTATGTAGAATGAAAATAAGAGACTCACAAGACTTTTGTCTTTCATTCTCACTTCTCTGAACTATGACTATTTTATCATAAAAAATGCATTATTTTGATAATTATAAAATAGCACAAATGAAAAACAGTGCCAACTTAGGTTTTAAGTACTCACAGCTTCTTGGGAGTTTTGCTTTTGGTTAATTCCTGGACCAGAAAAGTACCAAATGCAAATGATGGGCGCCCGTGATGTAAATAATACGTGAAATTCAGACGTTCCATTACAGCATATTTATTCACCAGACCAGGGCTAGAGAAATGTGGAAGATGACTCAGCGCATCTAGGGGAGAAAGCAGAGCAGCATTAACCTTCTGCACCTTATGATAGTTAATTTCAGATTTGCATATGGAAAGCTTAACTCTTCAATGGTAAAAAATTTGTTGGTTTCTACAATCATTTTGTACCATAATGCAGTTTATCTCTTTGAACCTATCAAAATATAGTTGTTTATTTCACTTAAGTGTACAGGTAGCCTTCATTTGTGCTCTTTATATTGAACATACTTAAATTTTATTTGTTTTTAGTTTTCTGAGACAGGGTCTCACTGTGTGGTCCAAGCTGGGAATGAACTTGTGATCCTTCTACCTCAGCCTCCTGAATGCTGGCATTATAGGTATTGGCCACCTTCCTGTGACTTTGGTTGCCTTTTCCCCTTCTTTTTCTTCCTAGAGACTCTTAGTATCTGCCATTAGCACACTACTGTTTCAAACCCACTAAGTGCTTTGGCTGGATCTCCTCTCCTCTTTAGACTTCTGTTCTTCACAGTAAAATGAGCACACTGGGTTAAATGACCTCTGAGGGCCACGCACCTTAAGTGCTCCACGGATTTTTTTTTTTTTTTTCTATTAAAGGACTCTTTCTCCTATGAAAGCTGTGCTGAATGACAGCGGTGACTATGGTCTAGTAGAGGCTGGCTGCCAATGGAATAAGGGTCAATGATTTCCAGGCATGCACAGGGATATCTGGACTTCCTGCTTGCAGTCCTATCTATGTGTTACGGTTTGTGTCTGCATGTCCCCCCAAATCCTCATGCAGTCAAGGGACAGGCTTCTAGAGTTTATGACTGGTTCATGGTCCAATGTTGGAATTATAGATGTGAGTGCTACACCTGCTCTGAGGTGGGTAGTTTGCATACAATGGAAGGTAGGAAAAGAGGGTGCTTGCCACTGCTCCTCCCTTTTGCTCTTGCTGCTTTTGCGCTATCTTCCGCCACCACAAATGGATGTCCTCTGTCGTGTGGCACCCTGCCTTGGAGCCAGCCAAGTATGGACTGAAACCTCCATGAACTGTGAGCTAAATAAACCTTTCCTTCCTTAATTTTGGACATCAGGTATTTTGTCTCAGCATCAAGAGAAAAATAACCAAGACACTATGGTTACTGATGCTTAGATGTGACTGAGGGGAAAAATCAACTGTCTGGGGTATCCCTAAACCAAATGAGGAGCACAAACTGGAAACAGGAAAAAGCATACCCAGAAGTGACTCCTGAGGGCAATTATTATACTGTTTCCAGGGGTAGGAAGAAGCTCTAGTACGGTAGGTGTAGTGTCTCAGTGTTAATAGGCCTTTGAGTAATAAAAGAATATGCTTGACTCCTGATCTTGAGTATCCTAGCTGTGTGAACCTGGACAATTTATTTCACTTTCTAAAAATTTACATATTTAAAGAATACAACACAATATTTTGATATACTTGTTCTAATGACTTCTACAGTCAAGCAAATCCAACATCACATATACTTACTTTTCTTTCTCTGGGTAGTTAAGACTATTTAAAATCTATTCTCCTGGCAATTCACCACTACACATAATTATCATCATGTACATTTAATTGTACCTCTAAACGTCTTCATCCCATATAACTGTAGCTTTGTACTCTTTGGCTTATGTCTTCTTGTTCCCCACTGCCAATAATTACCATTCTGCTCTGTTATTATGTATTTGATTTGGGGAAGGCAGTACCGGATATTGAACCCAGGGCCTTTGCCCTTTTTTTGAGACAGGATTCTACTAAGTTGCCCAGGCTAGGATCAAACTTGCAATCCTCCTGCTATAGTCTCCCGAAATGCAGGGATGACAGACGTGTGCCACCGTGCCTGCTGTTTCTCCTCCCGCTTCAGATACTACATGTACTATATCACACATCATCTGTCTTTCTGAATCTGGCCTATTTCCCTTAGCAGAATGCCCTCTAGTTTTACCCATGTTGCTGCAAATGGCAGGATCTCTTTTTAATGCTGGACAACATTCTATTATGTACGTATGTGGAAACATTTATGTATTGTACATGTGCTGCCAAAGTAAGCACAGTATTTATATATTGTAATACCTCTATCCACTCATCTGCCAATGGATACCTGTTTGTTTCTATATGTTCACTACTGTGCATAATGCTGCCATAAACATGGCTGTGCAGATGTCTTCATGTAACGGTAGTTTCATTTCCTTTGCGCATATACCCAGAAGAGGGATTGGTGGGTCATGTGGTGGTCCCATGTGTAACTTCTTTAGGACCCTCCACATGTTTTCCACAGTGGCTGCCATCAATCTACACTCCCCAGACTGTACAAGGGCTCTCTTTCCCTGACATCCTTTCTCACACTTACAATCTTGTTTTTGTTACCAAAGCCATCCTAGGGGATGCGAAATGCTGTTTCATTGTGGTTTTGATTTGCAACTCCCTGGTACTCAGTGATATACAAGACTTTTTCATATACATTTGGCCACTTTGAAGCCTTCTGCAGCAAAAAAAAAATCTATTCAGGACTTTTGCTTATTTTTAATTGAATTACTGTCTTGCTACTGAGTTATGTGAGCTCCTTATATATTCTGGATACTGACCTCTTATTAGGCCTGGGGTTTGCAATTATTTGCTTCCAGTCTGTAGATGCTTTTCATTTTACCAGCTGTTTCTTTTGCAGAGCAGAAACTTTTTGTTTGTCCACTTATTTTTGCTCTTGTTGCCTGAGCTTTTGGCGCTCCTCCAAAATACTAATTGCCAAGACCTATGTCAAGACACCTTCCCATGTTTTCTTCCAAGGGGTTTTACAGTCTTAGGTCTTACATTTAAGTCTTTAATCCAATTTTATTTTTATGTGTGGCTATAGGGTACAGTTTCATTCTTTTGTATGTGAATAGCCAGCTCTCCCAGCATCATTTATTGAGGAGACAGTTGTTTCCCTATGGTATACTCTTAGTACCTTTGATGAAAATTAGTTGACCAAATGAGAGGGAGTTTCCTTCTGGGTTCTCTATTCTGTTCTCTCTCTATGTATCTGTTTTTATATCGTTACCACAGTCTTGATTAGTACAGCTTTTCAGGTTTTAAGGTCAGGTATTGTGACGCTTCCAGCCTTTTTGCTCAGGCTTGCTGTAGCTTTCTGGAGGTCATATAAATTTTAAGACTGTTTCTTCCATATCTGTGAAAAACATCACTGGAATTTTGACAAGGATCTCACTGAATCTATAGATTGCTTTGGATAGTATGAACATTTGGATAATATTCTTTCAATCCATGAACACATCCATTTATTTATGTCTTCCATTCCTTTCACCAATGTTTTATGGCCTAATACAACTATCTTTCACCTCGAGCTTATTCCTAAATTTCTGAATGCTACTATAAATGGGATTGTTTTGATTTCTTTTTCAGATTATTCATTGTTAGTATACAGAAACACTACTATCTTTTTGTCTTTATGTTGGTTTCTTTTTTTGTTAACACTACTATTTTTGTACAATGACCTATAACTTTACTGAACTCATTTCCTAGTTTTAACAGTTGGTGTTTTTCAGAGGATTTTCAGTACACAAAATCCTATCATCTATACACAGTGACAACTGAACTTCCTTTCTGATTCAGTCACCCTGTGTTTCTTTTTCTTGCCTAAATGTTCTAGCTAGGATTTCCAGTATTATGTGGTGAATGGACATCCTTGTGTTGTTCCCCATCTTAGAAAAGTTTTCAACTGTTACTACTGACATTAGTTGAGGGCTTGTCATTCCTTCAATACTTAATTCGAATTTTTATCATGAAAGGATGCTGAGTTTCATCACATTTTTTTTGCATCTACTGCTGTTATTGTATGGTTTTTGTCCTTCATTCTGTTAACATGGTATATGATACTGATTAATTTGTGCATGTTGAACCATCTTTGTAGCTCTGTTCGTACTGTATTTGATCCTTTAATTTCACAATAGCAATAACTCTTGTTGTTGTTTGTTTTTTTGGGTACTGGAATCGAACTCAGGACCTCATGCTTGCCTGGTGGCACTAACTCTTTAGCTACAAAACTCTTACTAATCTGCAAAAGGATCTTTTAAAAATAGCAGGAAAATAGTTTTTCTTTGTAGAGAAACTCAAGAGTCAGAAGACACTTGGCCACAAACAGCACGGAACAGCCACTCCCACCAAGCCCTCATCTTTAACTGCCTCTTAACCACTTCCTGCCCATAGGGGAACAGAAGGAGATAAAATAACGTGTGAAACTTGTTCCAAAAACCAGTTCTGGAAAATATTTCAAAGTTCAAAGTTTATCCCTGGAATAAAGCCTAATTTCCTCATGGAATTTCAAGGAATTTGCACATTCTCTTGGCTCCTAAAGAAAACAGAAAAAGGATTGGAGACCTTAGCGTTATCTGTCATCTCACAAAGCTCTACTCTAAAGTACCGCTCTTTGAGATTAAGAAGTCACATGTCCTATTTGTATTCTGAGACCGGAGTGACTTCAGTAGCTTATTACTATATATAAAACTATTTGTTCATTAAATATTGACCGTGTAAAGTGTACAGTACTGACAGTTGTAGAATAAGTAAACGAGACTTTTATTCAAATAATTTTGATTTTTTTGCAGATGGAGCCTACTGTGGAGACTGTGTACCGGGAAAATTCTACCTGCTACAAAAGCCAAGTCACCACACAGTTTTTGTACATCGCCATTCAGTGGTAAATCCACATCAAAAAAAGAAGTGAACATTCTAACTCAACTCAACTCTCCAATTATATAACTATGTATTATGTTTTCACAGCAACTATTCTATTTATTTTGTACCTTATCTCTTCAAGTACTTCATAAACTTCTAAAAATGAGGCAAGTTTAATATCGCAGAGGTGGTCAAGATTCTTACTGGCTAAGTGATGTAGCCGGAGCCATTAAAACATGACTCTAATAAGTTAGAAAGGGTGTTTTTATTTCATCATGCAGTAAGTACTACTGTTTTGAGCCCTCAACAAACACTGAACATCTGTTGTAGGCCTGGTACTGCACTGGACTCTGGGTGTAGGTAAATTCAGTGTATCAGATAAAAACTTACACAAACAGATATATTAGAAAACTAATTTTGAGCCAAGCATGGTGGCCCATGCCTGTAATTCCTGCTATTTGGGAGGCTGAGGTGGGAAAATCACAAGTTTCAGGCTAATTCAGGCAACAGAGCAAGACCCCACCTCAAAAACACAAAAGAAAAAGCTGGGTATAGTGCATGCCCCAAATCCCGGCTACTCAGGAGGCTGAGGCAAGAAGACTGTGATCAAGGATGCCTGGGTAACTTAGCAAGACTTTGTTTCAAAATAAAAAACTAGGGCCAGGCATATAGCTCAGCAGCCTGCCTGGCAAGTACAAGGTCCTGAGCTTAATTCCTGGTACCAAAAAAAAAAAAAAAAAAAAAACTAGGGGCTGGGGATTTAGCTCAGCAGCAAAGCGCCTGCCTGGCAAGCGCAAGGTCGTGAGTTCGGTTCCCGGTACCGGAGAAAAACAAAAAACAAAAAACAAAACAAAACAAAACAAAACCTAAACTAAAAAGGTGTAGAAATGTAGCTCAGTCATCTAGCTCCCCTAGGTTCAATCCCCAATACCACAAAAAAGGGAAAGAAAACTCATTTTTACATATGTCAATACATTTGACAAGCTACACTGATAGACATTCACACATCTGATGTCAAATACTTATGAAATATTTTCATCCTTAGTAATACAGACAGCTATCAGAGGGAATATGGTATAAATGCAAAGGTAAAAGAAAAACAGAAAAAGCTAAATTTAAGCCCTAAATGCAAAGGTAAAAGAAACAGAAAAGGCTAAGTTTTAAGAACAGCATGAAACTCAGAAATTTTCATGGTCTACACAAAGGCAGTATGTGTGTGTCTGGTGCTTAGTACAGACAGTTTTATAGTTTCCTTGTCTTTTTTCATTCTCACACTAACACATGAGGTGAGCACTATTATTAAACTTATTTTATAGGGAACTAAAGAAAGGTTAAACCACTTGCCTAAGCTCACAGAGCTCTTATATAGTAGAACTAGAATTTACTAAAGCTCTGATATAATACACTGACTTTTAACTCATAATTTGTTTTCAATTAGTCTCCTAGCAAGTGTATTTTTTGGGAGGGTTGGGTAGTACTGGGGCTTGAACCCAGGACCATCATACTAAGCTACAGCTCTTTTTTTAATTTTTGATTTTAAGACAGGGTCTTGTAAGCTGCTCAAATTTATTTCCTTTTGTGTAGGCCTCCTGAGTATTGGGATTGTAGGTATGCATACTCATACCCAATTTCTGTATTTTTAAAATAGAAAGCAGGTAAAAAATGAATTGGCTTTATTAACTTTTAACATCAATACTACTAAATATTTCTAAAGTAAGAAATACCCATATTGACTTACCTCCTATTGCTAGTGTATTGGCTGACTGCCAGCCAAACAATCTGCTGGGATCAAAGGGTGATAATGACTGGGAAAAAAAAAAAGTCAGAGCCACATTCTTATTGATTCTAAGACAAGTAAACAAAATGCATGAAAAGCCTTCATAGGGAATCTGCTTCTCTAAACCATTTTTTTTTCTGTTACTAGAGATTGAACTTGTATATCCCCAGCATCCCCTCCCTCTAAATTTTTTTTTGAGTGAGGGTCTCACTAAGTCGCCTAGGCTGGGCTCAAACATGTAGTCCTCCTGCCTCAGCTTCCCAGAGTGCTAGGATTACAGGAGTGTACCACCACATTTGATTGCCAGGGCAATTTAAAAACTTAAGCTGGGCTGAGGTATAACTCAGAGATAAGAGCACTTACCCAGCATGTGCAAGACCCTGGTTCAATCCCCAGCATCATGTCATAACATATCATTACATATCATACATATCATAACATAAACTTTATCTCTCTGAACATTAATTCTTTGAACACAACTAAAAACAAAACAACAATTTCTACTTTAATAGATACATTCTTTTAAAGACTCACGTATTTTCTTTTGGTAAAAATAGAATCAATTATAACATAAGACACACTTTTTTTTCCTTTCTTTTTTTTGTGTTTTTTAGACAGGGTCTCGCTATGCAGTTCAAGCTGGCCTTGAGCTCACTTTGTAGCCCAAGCTGGCCTCAAACTCGCCACGATCCTCCTGCCTCAGCCTCCCGAGTGCTGGGATTACAGGCATGTGCCACCATGCTTGGCTTAAATATGCTCTTGGAACCAAAAGGCTTGAAAATGTTACTTTGTAAACATGAGAAAAATTAAGGGCAAGGACGAAAAGGAAAGACCAAGATAGCTGGAAGAATGTGGTAACCAAAAACATTACCAAAGAAAAAATGGTGGACTAAAGTCAAGTCAGAAAGGGTTGGCAAAAGGGAAAGGTTGCTGTTTGGAATCTGTGAAGCCGAAGATTTAGCAAAGCCTAGGAACAGATGATGGGAAGGTGAGGGGGGAAAAAAAGCTATCAAGTCTGGATTCAATGGCTATGGGAGAATTTATGCTATATTAAAGAAGAAATAATTTCCCTAAATAATTTTTATAAAATAACAGCACAATCAACTTGAAAACACAATAAAGAACAAAGTGAAACCATGTATATCTGAAGCTGATTCGTACCACTTTATGTAGAGAAATAGGCTTTCATACAATCCACTCAGTTTACACCAGAGTTACTTGGAGTGCTGGTCTGCAGCAAGTAAGATCCCTGCACCAGAGTGCCGGTCCAGCACTCTGCTTCCTTCTTTAGGAAATTCTTGCTACACAAAAACCTATGAACTAGACAGTGCGCTTGGTGATATAACAGACTACATTCTGGCACAAGGTCAGTTCTCACAGATCAGAACTAGTCAGCAGGTCAGACTCTGAGCAGCCCAAGAATTGTTCACATTAGAGGGAGAGTAACTTGGTATCTTTATAGAATTATGGAGCTTATGTTGGATTGAAGATACTACGTGAGACTACGTGTAAAACAAAACAAAACAGAAAAGCCTTTGCAACTGCGAAATGAGCAAAAGGTACTGAGTTCCCAGAATCAAGACTTCAGGGAGTCTGCCCACTCCTTTGAAATATAAACAAAATTAACTCACAGAATAAATAAAGAGCAAAATGAAAGATCACAGGAAGTAGGGGCACAGAGCTTTCTTAAAGGGGAGGGGGATCAAGAGACAGAGGAAGGGTAGAAGTTCAGGGGATGAAAAAAGGAATCAAGATGCATCATGTGCATGTACCAACTTCACACAGCAATGTAAACATTATGTACTTCAAATATATACCAAAAAAAGGGAAAGGAATTAAGGGATGGGGGAAGTGGGGAGGAGGGAAGGAAAAGGGGATGAAATCAGGAATTAAGATGTACTATGTAGATATACTAACTTGACATAAGGTATGTAACCATTATGTACCACACGTTCTATAAAAGAGAAATATAAACAAAACTATGTGCTTCTCTGTAATTTTTTCTCAGTACAAGGTTCATAGCTCTCTCACATTCTTAAGAAGCTCTGGGTACTGAAAAAAATTAAGAAGCACTGATTCATTACCAGGACCCAAGAATTGAGCAGCCCAAGCAGGATCTCACCGAGATGAGATCCTCGGAGGTTATCAGTGGTAGAATGGAATAGATTTTGACGCAAGCAATGGACAGGAATCCTGGTCAACTCTCTTTATCTCATCTGTTTCCATTCTTCCCTTGCTCTGCTTTGTACTGTAAGGAACTACATTTCCCAAGCATCGTTGCTGTATGGCTACCAGGTAAGTACAGCCATGAACGAGACTAGGGGAGATTCAAGGTGGGAAGAGGAAAGAGACCAAGACACTTTCAGCTGGCTTTGCTTTCTGCAGACCTCTCCTCCAAGTTTCTAGTTTCATCCCTCTACACTCCCAGCTCCCTTAAGCGTCCTTGTTTTAAGTTTAGTTCCCAGAGATGACTCCAGCTTCTGTGTTCTGACAACACTGCTACCTTATTCTACGGCCTTAGAGATGCTGAAGGGTTCTTCCTTTGCTGATTCCTGGGTGGTCTGACTGCCACATTTCGTTTCTTCATTCTGCCTCACCATGTGTAAACAATTCCCTATGCTGAAAGCCCTCCATTTGGAAGGGGCAGTGTTTTCTGATTTGGCACCTGAATCATGACTGATACACTTAACTACTGTACCTGAATGAGGTGGTAGAGTGTAATGTCAGGTGGCAGGACACTGGGAACAGTGCACTGTGGGAAGAGAGCAGCTTTTAACTTTGGGTAAGGAGTTAAGGCCATCTTCAGCAGTTGGGGATCCACTTTCTTCAAACAGTTCTCATTTTCTTCATTCTGAACAACCTAGGTAATCAGATACATAACAGATATAGAATAACATTTTTCTCTCCTCAAAATTTCTACCTCTTTTTCACAAGAACCCTGTGAAAAGACTAGCTTGAGAGAATATGCAGCAGTGAAAAGAGCATTGTTAAAAATAGTCATAAGGGGCCAGAGATTTAGTTCAGTGGCGCAGTGCCTGCCTGGCAAGTGTGAGGTCCTGAGTTTGATTCCCAGTATCCCTCACCCAAAAATAGTCATAGGTTAAATAACAGTAACAATTCTAGTTCTGGTTCTAAGACAAACTAGCCGTTTGACACTGGATTAGTTATTTAAGGCCAGGCTTGATATGTCCTCATCTGCAATACTAGAAAGCTGAGCTGGATTAGTTGTATTCAAACTGTATGTTGCTTGGAAAAAAGTTCTACTGTTATGTTTAAAATATTTAAATTGAATATCAAATAGTAAATACCTTAAAAGATTAGAAAACTACTAGAGTAGATGACTCCCAGGTTCCTCCTCAGCTCTAAAGTTATTCTATTACTAATTTCTGAGAAATGATTAAAAACAGGGGAGCAAATAACTTAGCCACAGAAGTACACTGCACTATCTAAAAGAGACAGTATTAAATTAAGCTAGTATCAGTAAAAAACTTTTGAAGATTACTATATGTTTAACAGCATTAAGTTCCCTCTGAGCAGGCACACTATACATTCAAAAAGCAAAAATAAGCAAATTTCCAATAGATCCTTCAAAAGAGTTTATATGAGTAACTAAAGATTATGCACTGATTAATTAATTTTTACCTCTCTAGAAGGTCAACTAGCAGAAAATAACTCCCAAGTCACAAACCTAAAATATATTTATGCCCAGAAGTACTAGGATCCTGACTTTAACCTGTAAACTAACCTGGAGTTACAAAAAACACACTAATAGGAAGAAAGTATCTCTGTACAACACAGTAGTTTTCCTTCAAATCAGGATATGATACAAAGCTTAAAAATTTATCCATTTTGTTCTCTTTAATATAAAACTTAAAAGTGATTATATTTTAATGTCAATGGAGATCTATACAATCCATAGATATTCCTACTAAATTTAAAATCATTCCTATTTTGTTGTAATAGGTAAAAGCATTGTCCACACCTGGCTCGCACCCCCAGGAGCATACATTGTAGTAGCAAGGGCCAGGAGGGTATGTCCTTCCAATAGCATACTGCTTACACTGGCCTGATTGGTGGGAATCAAAATCTGAGCATTCGCAAGGCTAGCCTGGAAGATCAGTTTGGGATCTGGAAGATAAAAGGGTATGTTTTTCTCCTTAAGAGGGGTTATCATTAAGAAGTACATCATTCAGAGGGAAAAGTGTAAATTTAAAATCTATTCATAGTAAGGAGAATCTTCTAAATTTAAGCAATAGAAAGACATCACAAGGCAAAAAAGGAAAGATCTATCCACATGAAAGTAAAGACTTCAAATGAAGAAAACTAGAAGGTAACAATGAACTAAGGAGAAAAATTACAACAAATAATCTAAGAATCAATGCTCTCAACAAAGAACTCATACAAATCAACGCCAAAAACACTTGACTCTTAACAGGTAAATGGATAAAATAAAACAATTTACAAAGAAGAAAATATAAATACTTAACATAAAAATATATAATTCACTAGCAATAAAGAAATGAAAATTAAATAATTAGCTATCATCTATATCAAAGTAGTAACTAAAAATAGTGACCACTAAATATTACAGTTGGCCAGGATGTGCAGAGACTGAGTTACAGATAAACATTACTACCTCACGAAAAGCAACCTGATCTTATGACAAGAACCTGCAAAATATGTACAGCCTTTGACTCAGTAACTTTTATTTCCAGAAACCTACTGGTATTAAGGAATTAATCTGAAACAAGGGCAAAAATGTGTTTTCTGTTAAAATATATTTAAGTGGTGCATGGCTGTAATCCCAGCACTTGGGAGGCTTTCCCTAACTCTGAGATGAGTCCTCAGAGGTAACAGGGCTTTTCTGTCTGATTATAATCAGAACAAGCCTCTACATCAGCTCCTTCACTAGAGAGGACTCAACAGTTCTGCATATACCATGGATTTCTTTCCATTCCATTTGGAGCCGCTTACCAGAAATTCAGGGATAGGGGTGTAACTTGATGGTACAGCCCCTGCCTAGAACATGCGCTGCTTGCATGAATGAATAAACAAATCATTCAGAACAAGCGCCACTTACTCATGTAAAAGAGGTGTTCCTCTACATGAGAGCAGGAGTTCAGCCTGTGATAACCTGGCAGGATGCTGGAAACACAAAGACAATAAAGTCTGAGGCAGAAGTGGGAGAAGCAGACAGGACTACGCAAGTTCTCCACTGTAAGTCTAGGTTTTCACAGTGGGCAAGAGGCTAATGTTTTTGGTTTTCTGCTTAAGAAACGTGTGGTCCTGGGTTACAGTCAGATATCTGACTACCATCAAATGACTTATTTAAGCAAGTTCATAAATTAAATGCCATTTAATAGACCAGTTATTTATCCAAACATTCTTATACTTAATACAGTATACCCTTACCTGTCAAATTATTGGAAACTTGTCGACACTGAACTAAAAATTCAAACCAAGGATGAGCTTCATGTAATTCTTTCTTTTCCAAAAAAGGACAATTTTCAGGATTGAGTCTGTATTAAAATATAAAACCTTTCTCTTTAACATATAATACAGAGTAAGATGGTTACAAGCATTCTTTGTTCTGGTGAAAACTAGCATCAGAAAAACGAATCTTGAAATTACAAAATGAAATAACACAACATACTCCCCCTCTTAATGCTACAGTACTTCACATGTTCTTTATGGCCTGGAAATAGAGAAATTGTAGCCAGATTTAGACATGACATTTCTTATCATCATGATGAAATTTTACTAACTCTGTAAAAAATTAATAGATACCTTATATTTTACTTTTTTTTTTTAACAACATAAACTTTTTAGTATTTTCAAATTTAAGAGATTTTTTTTAAAAACCTTTACACAACTACAGAGAGGCTAGAAATGAGTTAAGGCTCAGAACAGATACTTTAAAATATGGCTTTTAAATTTGTTCTCTTGTCACAGTAGTTTTGGAGAAACACTCCTACATCTAAGCATCAATGAGATGAATCAGAAATATATTCTTTGTTCAAACTCCTAGTCTTTACTACACAGAATTTAAAAAGAAAGTTCTCTAACAGGACAGAAATGTGGGCTCTGGAGTCAAAGTAAACAGCATCTGGCTGTGTCACTTACTTCCTATGTGCCTCAGACTTAGCCTTTCTCAAAGCCTCAGTTTCTTCATTGGTGAAATAGAGATGAAGTAACTGCTCTGCAGAGCTTTTGTGAAGATTAGGTCAGTTGACGCACGTAAGGCACTTAGTCTAGTGTGAAGACCAGTAGAAGCACTGATATATTCCAGACTACATTTGTTGTCGTTACTACTGACTCAATAACAATCAACACTGGACCCAAATAGGATTCTGAAGGTTGATCTTAGATATACAGGGATGTACATCTAGCTATAGAAAAGTTTTAGAGCTTATCTAATATACTCTTAAGTGACTATGCAATCAAACCTGATTAGCATTCTTCACAATGAAAGTATCAAAGAACTCTAAGTGAACATTTATAATCTTCTTCTCTTCAAAACTTTTAAAAGTATGCCTTTCACTGCTTAAAAAGTTAAGCGAGAGGCTACAGAATTAATATCACAAAAAAAATCACATATGCATTTAGTTAAATGTGGCATGGAACTAAAAGATTTACCATGTGTTGAAGTGGGAGAAACTACTTCAAAAAGAGCATGATTCCTCATGTGACTGCTTATTATTTTCCTAAACATCAGTTTACAAGCAGTATGCAAAGAAGAAAGTCAGCTCTCGGTACTCACTTGTAATGATCCAGATAGACATACAGAAGATGCTGCAAACCATGTTCTAGGCAGTAAAGAATGAAGTGAGAATGGAAATCCCAGCCCACTTTGGTCTTGTAGTTTTGAACAGGAAGGGTACCTTGCATCACACCCCCAATTCGGCTCAGTCGGAGGAGGAAGAGTTCAAAGTCTTCCAGTTCAGATACAAGAAAAGTCCCATTCCTATTGGCAAATTAGGAAGTGCTAGGATCAGAGCAGACCAAATCACTTTCATTGCGTAAGTCTCAAAACAGTAAATATTTTAAAATTAAGGCTGCCAATTCTTACTCTATAAATATATTCTAAGACACTTATTTTGCTAGTTTTCTATAAAGGTTTGTATACCCATACCGTATTTAAAGGTAATTACAGTTTCAGGTTATCTTTGAAATGTCAAAAACCTAAACTAACCATCTCTCCATTTTTTGGTTTGCTTTTGTTTGGAACCATACAACCCAGTGTGGCCATTAACTCTTGAAACTGAAAGCTCTGACCACTGAGAAATTCACTAAAATATCCAAACAAAGTCACTAAAAAGTTAGAATACTTTAAACATACCAACTATTAGACAATAGGAATTTGCAATTAAATATTACTTTTAAAAAATGTGTTGATAAACACATATATACATTACAAAGGAGCACAGAAAAATGAGTTTAAAGAAACCACATGACCACCACCCAAATTATAGTTAGTTTTCATTGTTACATACTATGCCATTGTATAATTACAGAACATGTAATACAATGAAAAGAACAGTGAATAGAAAATTAAAAATTCAAGTCTGTAAGTAAATGGCTTGGGCAAAGCATTCAACTTCTCTGGGTTTGACTCTCTACATCTTTAAATTGGATAAGACAACAAAACACACCCTGACGAGCAAAACAGAAGTACATACAAAATAAGCATAAGAAACTTAAGTTATTAATCTTCCTTATCAAGAGCTATTTTCCCTCTCATTATCTCTGAATCCAGCAATCTTTTGAAGTTCAAGGCTATTATAGCACATGAATGCAGGATAATATGGAGAGGAGTGGGTATAATTACAGGACACTAAGGGATCCTCAGCCCTGGCCACTTGTTCCTTACAGCCCTACCTACAACAGCTCTACATAAAATATTTTGGGAAGAACCTGTATCTACAATTTGAGAGCCTATTCACTACAACGTAATGTTAAGTGCAGGTAGTATGTGATAATGTCCTTTCAATTTAACAGCTGAGCACGGTGGCGCATGTCTATAATTCCAGCACTCGGAAGGATCACCAAAGTTTGAGGCCAGCTTGGGCTACACAGGCGAGTTCAAGGCCAGCTTACAACACATAGTAAGACCTTGTCTCAAAAAAAAAA